GGGTAAAATTCAGCTAGCTGAGTATCGCAGACGAACCAACCTCTGAATTTATGCTGATTAGGATTGAGGAAGTTGTTTATACCCAGATGTTGACGAGGTTACTGTAAATTATTTGATTCGATAGAGCCAGAAATATTCGATTCGATAGAAAAAAAAATTAAACGAATTTTAACTAATTAGCCGACTTATCGCAAACATTTTACACCCGCATAACGTCACCCCTGGCCGTACGACTCACCTGCACAAACCGCATAAGTGTAACTTCCACGGAACTTTTAAAAACAAATTTGTAAAGCTTAAAAAAAAAAAAAAAACTCTGTATATACTGCGGTTTGAAATCCGCCATGTTCCAGGCGAAAAAACAAAGAAACGCGAAGAACGTGTTCGCGGACTTGTCCCCGAACGGGTTCTATCTGGAATGTTCTGTATCACGTGAGCACACCTCATGAAAGAGGTCCGCGAACCTGTCATACCACGGTTATCGGAATTTTAAACCCGTTCAACTGTCACTTTTTTCTGGTCCGGCGAGGTTCATGCCAGTTCCGCGGAATCAGCTAACTATGAAGGAAACAATCGTGCCAAGATGCTCTCGGAACAATAAACTGCAGAAACCGTTTTTTTTTTTGTTTTTTTTTTTTCTACTGACCATTTTTTAGCGTTCGTTCATTTCGCTTTGGCTTGGCTGTGTTTTATGGAACGACTGACACTAGTTAACGCCTCATTGACTCGAATGTGCTTTTATTTTCTGTAATCACTGTCTACGTCACTGCGCATGTAAAGGAACTTAAAAAAACGGCAATGTTTTACGGCTTTTATGTTTTACGGCTTTTATTTTAAAACGCCGGTACAGTTCATAATATTTCAATATAGGAGCCTACTTCGACGAAACCAAACACCAATTCGACATGCATTCAATGAAGGCAAAGTTTATATCCTAACACATATGTATGCAAGCCCACTGCAAGATATAATAATGAGGCGCCAATACCATAACGAGGGATTGTTGGGTCATTGTTGGCTATCAGAAGTAGCCAAACGTGGAATATATGTTTCATTTCGGGAAAAATGGTTAAACTGCTTAGCTTTCTCTCTCTATTTCGGTCCATCGGGGGATTATTTATCTCGCGTTCATTAATAATTGTTATTTTGATCTAACTAAATGACAAAATAAACAGACAAATGCTAAATCTTTAAGAATAAAATGCTATGAATTCAGATTGACTTTGTAGGTTGGTAATGTTTGTTCCTAAACATATTTATCGATACGGTAAATACGGCTTCAGGCGGAACTCATATATCTATTCTCGTGCTGTCTAGGTGACGTTCAGTTAGTTCCACACTTCTATATGACGACAAATAAAACGTCTGATGTCGTTTAAATTTCAGATTTGGTCGGTTTTCAGAATTATCAAACACTTTATAAAAAATATTTGCCGCGAAGCTTTCGGTAATTTTATTGAAAGAATCTGTGCGCAATTTCGATCCAGAAGCTAAGTATTCGACTTTTTTTTTTCTTTTTATTGTCCCGTTTCGGGCATTTTTCAGGCGAGCTTTATGGCTACCAACTCGGACCTGTTGCCGCGCACGATGTGTGTGCTGAAGTGTTAATGCAGGATGCTGTCGTATTAACCGGAATAAATCACAACTCTTGTTTCGTTGTCCAGGGGACAGAAACTGGTCGAACACAAAGTTGGAGCCAAAAGTTCGTGAAGCGCGCCGATTGAACATCGGCGACAAAAACGCGAAGTCATCGTCGTGATTGTCTGATTGGTGCGCTCCGTCAACTTCAGCCCCAACTCTATGTTTGATGAGTTATAGGGCCCCAACTGTAGAGAATATATTTCATAACTAGGGGCCGATTTTCCTAATTTACCACGACCGGCATGCAACGCGCGCGGCCGAGCTCTCCTCGACCTGTGAGTGGTCCGCGTTGGAAACGATTAGGCCGTTTGGCGCTTCGTTGCCACGGCCACGCTTCGTTCCAAACCGGTTGCGTTCGTTTCTAGTTAGCCGTAGCGATCGGTCTGAACGCAAGTGTGTCAACAAACCTTAAACGTAAAAAAAAGAGAAAAAAAGTTTAGCCTTTTTACGGTGCCTGCGTCGTCCTCGTATGCTTACTATCCCTGGCTAAAACAAATCACGCTCAAGAAATGCTCCGTGATCCTGCGCGTTTTTTTTTTGTCTGTGCGTGCTTGGTTTAGCTGATATGATAGAAAACGGACAAAAACAATGGGCGCCGTGACAGTTCATTTTCGACACTTTTTGATTGGCTCTATCGAATCAAAGCGTCTGTTGAACACATACAATAAGCCCAACTTTCTCTCCTTCATTCTATGTTGCAATCTTTTTCTTTTTTTTTTTTTAGAAGTTACGGTGTACTATAATCATGGTCTCCTATATACTGAAAAGCCTGGCCGATCGCCACGAGAAGCAACCGCCGAATTGAAAAAATAGAGCGGCAGACAAACGAATTAAGGCCCGTTCACACACATGCGTCCGTAACGACCGGAACGACCGGAACAACCGAAACAACCGAAACGACCGTTGCAAGGGTCTGCAACCGTCAGTTGCCATAGCGACGGAGGGACGCACGCGCGTGTCGTTCCCGACGCAAACAGTTGGAGCGAGCCCAACTTTCCCCCGCTGCGTTCGAAACAACCGAAACAACCGCAACGACAGAACAATCATGTCGAGGAGAATGGGTCGCGCGCGTTGCATGCCGGTCGCGGGCCGGCTCCTTCTGTCTGCGAACATGGCGTCGGTGGTGATCGTCGACGTGGACGGCGTAGTGAAAGCTCATCGTTCCGCGTAATGGCGCTATCCTTGACTGTGAATTTTCGTCTTGTGTCGCTATGATAATCCAGCACGTACTAGAAGGGAAGATCCACCTACTCGTGCGGCGATGTCGTGGCGGCACTCTCAAGACAGCAGAAACGCCCGTGCCGTCGTGTATGTTTACTTCGACTACAGTAGTGCTTTCTAAGCATTTGTGTCTTCGAACATCGCCCGAATTTCTTATTTGGCGCATTTCATGCGTGTGCTCACGTTCAAGGTATTACTGGCGCGTAACGTATAAAGGATGCGACTTTTTACGCGTTTTCATCACCGGAGAAAGGTGATTAGTGTTAGCTATCCTGAACGCTCGCAATGTCTATCTGATCACGAAATCATATTTCTACCTTGCTATATCGCTCATAAGGTTACATCGTCTTTTATAATCGTAGAAAAGGCGTGCGGCGAGATTTGTCTATTGGCGAAGCCGTGTATTAGAGTCGTGATCGTCTAAGACGGCGTACTGCATCTTTTTCTTTTTTTTTATCCACCGTACCCTGCAAGTCTATTACGAAAAAAAAAATATTAATAAAGCTTTAGGCTATAGAAATCTGTCTATCTATATTCTGTTACGGTATTGAGTGGCAGTGCGCCCCCTTTTTAGGCGGACCGCTGAAACAGTTGACGGCGGCGTAGAAGCGGTCGCCGTGCTGCCGACCCGCTGCGCTTGTTGCAGCGGTTGCAGGTGTGTGCACGCACGGCGCAGAGCGGTCGTTCCGGTCGCTCTGGTAGCAACAGACACATCGCGCTCGTTGTACATGTCTGTACCAGCCTTTAAAAGACAGCCACGTGACTGGCGCCCCGCTGCGGCGAGACGCCGAAACACACTTCTCCCGAGCGAACAAGTGTGTTTCGGGTCTTCGCCGCTGCAAAAACTGTGCGCTGACGTCCAGGCTCCCCGAGAAATGGCTCTTTGATGCTCTGTGCTACCAGATCCTCGCGCTCCAAACCTGCGACCGGGCACTCTACTGCTCCGTCGTCGAACTGTCAGGCTTTATGAGTGTAGAGGTCGCTATGTTATAACGAAACCTGCACGACCAGGCGATTTCATGACGGGCCGTAATAATTTACGGGATAAGGGCCATTCGTCACATGCGCACTCGTCCCAGGACGATTAATCACAGGGCGTTTCGTCACACATGAACATTCGTCATAGGATGACTCGTCACGCGGCCAACCGGTCCTATAATAGTTCGTCCCTCCAAAAATATATTGTTCAATGTGGTTCGGCCGGACAAAGTGGCTCACCTCATATCTTAGCATGTCTTTGGCTTCTGAAAGGCGAAGAATTTGTAACAAACGTTTTAGCTTCTGGTTCGGTCCCGAACATTGAATGTGGGTTCGGCCTGACAAAGTGGGTCACCTCTTATCTTAGCATATCTTTCGCTTGTCAAGGTAGAATAATTTGTAACAGACGTTTTAGCTTCTGGGTCCGTCCCGAACGGTGAATGCGGCGGCCATATAAAAGCGACTAATTTTGAACTCGGACTACATTCAAAAGGATGGAGGTGATCGCAACAGAGAGAGGTGTAGCCATGCAGCTGCACGAGGGGTACTCGTACACATGCAGCAGAAAGAATTCCGAAACTTATGGGTTTTCTCGAAGAGGTGTATGCAAGGCAAAGTAAAAACTGATTTGGCTGCCAGTCGGATTATTGCTTGTTCAAGCCAGCAACTTAGATCAACCTGCTGAAGAGTCGTAATATGATAAGAGGAAAAGCGGATGAGTATTGTAAGATTAGTTTTTCTAACCATTGGTTTATGTCACAGTGGGAAGTCTTCACGACTTCCCACTGTGACATAAACCAATGGTTAGAAAAACTAATCTTACAATACAAACTCCTCATCGGGGAATGTGGGCAGTTGAAATTTACAATTTACTATCGGTCCAGACCGATTGATGTGACCAGTTGCCCGCATGACGAGTCATCTGTGACGAATGTTCCTATGTGACGAATCGTCCTGTGACGAGTGCGCATGTGACGAATCGTCCTCATTCTATAATTTACAACAAGCACAATCCAAACCGCTCGACAGATGTTCGCATGTGGAGAGATAAGAGACTTTTTTTTTTTTTTGCGGCCTTTTATTATAGTTTTTGCTACCTTTCTTTTGTTTTATTTTTACAGCCCAAATCTGTCTTTACGACAACCGCGACCGAAAAACGCGTTGTAATCTCTCTGCGAAAAGGAAGTGCGCCGACGAAGGCGCCTGCCTGTAATCACCTTGACTGACGAGATAAGGCGCCTTGGCGAGAGACAACCGGCGGCGGGCGTTTTGACGGGGCCTGGTGCTTGCGCCGTCACGCTTCAATTTCTGCTTTTCGGCGCTTCGCCGGAAGCTGCCGCGGCCACGATAGCCGCGTCAGACAAACCCAACCCCTTCTCAGCCCGAGCCCCGGCCGCCCTGGGGACTCGGCTCTAATTTTAGAGTCCCACAACCGTGTGTCTGTCTCCTATACGAGCTGTGCAGTGTTTCCCAGTCTTAAGTTTTTGATTTTTGGTGTCGCTCTGTTTCGTTCGTTACTTCGTTTGTGCTTCGACCACTGCTCCTTTGTTGAGCTAAGTAGAGTCGGATTTCGAGTCCCCCGAGCAAGCTGCGGATGTGTCGCGGTTTGGCCCACTCACCGGATATTTCCGCGACTTCCCTTGGATTACAAGCCGCCGAGAGGGTCTTCGACTTGGTGCGACAGATAACCGGTATGGTTTCTTACGAAGTTTCCTGGGTTTGGTCTTTTCTTTTGGCTCTTCCGTTGGGTGGTTAGTTTGGCAAAACTACAGGGCACCCTAAACCAACGTTATACGGGTCACTCGGGTGACTTGGCTAAGGTTGAAGAGCATGCTTCAGTAGATCGGCGTTGTAGCGATCGGTACGCCGGCACATATGTGCTTTTTCCACGTGGTTTTCTTCGTGCCGAAGTAAACAGCGTGAATTTAATTGCAAGTGAGTGAACACGTTGACCCATTCTTATGCCACTAAAATTTGGTCTCTAATTTAATTTGTTATGTTGTCCTCTGTTTCATTAGTTGCAGACCTGATGGCTAACTGAATCACACTCATTGTTTTTTTTTTTTTTTTCTTTTCTGACGAACCTAAAAGACTGATTTATCAGTTCTCATTTAGAAAACAATAAAACTTCGCAAACTGTACGTTTCCAGAGTCGCGCTGACAGGATTTCGTGGTCAAAAGGGCATCGTAATGTCAAAATTGATTAAATAGATCAAAGAAGTGTATGACCATAGTGTACCAATGGCGATCCGACTTAAAAATTTTAGCTAATAAAAACTACCTCAAGACAAGATTTTTAACTGTGAAGGCAAAGTAAGCAGACATTTTCGACGCAACTCTAACAAACGCAAAGGCACGATAATGTAGATTTTGGAACGAGATTCCCGGCTGTATGTTCCAGAAGGCAGATTCGTACGCTCTTAAATGGTAAAACAAAATGGCTAGGTGGCGTAAGCTACCGCCCGATCCAAAGGGCTCAGCCGTATTCATTCATCCATCCATCCATCCATGGTGTCGGAAGAATGTTTCGCAACAATCATTTGACTTCTACATCACAGGCTCACAGCGGTGGTCTTTCCGGTCTCGGACGTCCTATTGCTTGACCTACTCGTCCTTGATAGAAATGACACATTTAAATTGCGTATCACCTTGTGCATAAACCTGCGGAATAGCTATGGCAAAACTAAACATCGTTTAAACGGAGAAACATGATGAAAGCTTAGCTGGTAAAACTGTCATCGCGCATCCGCCCTCGGATAATATCCAGAAAGACGCCCTATCCTTGGCAGATTGCGAAGGTCAAGCAACCGTATTGTGATGGCCGCCATAGTCACACACAGAATGAGAACGACTGCCTTCTTGCCGTTTTAATCCTTTCAACAAAGTGCGCGACCAAAAGCGTCGCTGTGGTCGAAACTTGCGATAGGCCAAACGCTCACTGTGAGATGTTTGTGTTACTTTTTTTTTCTTTCATCGATGGAAATAAGCGCAATGTCAGGGTGCCAACCGTGCCGATGTTGGTTTAAGAATGCGATTCCTTCAAACTTTCATTGTTATTTTTGCACACACCGTCGAACTTGCAGTTTGCAAGTGACGAAACGTGTTGAAGATTATACAACTCATGACGTCAAGGCGAGGCAAATTCGGGTCGTGACGTCACGAACGAAAACCGAAAGAGGGCGTCACCGAAACATCTCGGCGCTGTCTGCGCGAATGTCGCTCGCGGTAACACGCTTCGTTGCATTTGACCATGGTCACATCTTCCGCATGACGTGTCCCAATAGAACACTTGTCAAACATGAGTTCAATCGTTGACGTGTGCTTCCCACTACGGCGGAACAATAGACCCTTTACAAAACGTGTACTATCGGCATGGAAGGAAACGGGTGCGCCGGAACCCGTGGCCTTCGATACCTGCTGCGCTCCCTGGAGGCTCATAAAACTGCGAAGTGGAGCGGGCGCTGCAAGATTGTGCATTCTTATTGGCACACTCCGATGTGCACACCGTCTCAGTTCCTCTCTCTCTCCTCTCCATCAGCCCTCGGGGGCTTTAATCCGAACACTTTGTGAAAACATCGGCGGGAAATTCGGCTTACGTGATTGGCCGGCGCCGCGCGATTGAGCTTGGCGCCGGCCAATCACGGCCGCATAATTCCTCGCCGACTTTGTCACCAAGCGTCCAGGTAGCGCATTATGTATCGAGGGCGACGCCTTCTGGCATTGGCGCTTCATTCCGAGTCGACAGCACGCGCCATCCAATAACCGCTGCGCCAGTTATCCGAGATCGCCACATTTTGGTGCGTGCACACTGAACGATGTTTTTGGACACAAGGGCGGCAGCGACAGTGTTGCGCGTGGACTGGGGTCCAACCACTCGCTTTGCATTGCAAGCGATGCCCGAAACATGGCGACCGCAAATTTTGCTTGAGGGGTTTTTGGACGGTCTATATAATGTTAGTTTTGGCTTGCAGATCGAAGGCTGTATAACGACCATGTGATGTCTGTCCATGGGTGTTTAAACCCTTCATCGACGTAACGGGCCAGTGACACGCATCCTTTCGACAGAGCGAAGGACTTTACGAGTAGAGCGGTCACCAAACTTACCCAGAACACGTGAACGGTGTCAGGTCTCATGGGAGCCCTACCCTGTTGACAGCCGAAGAGCTGAGCTGAACCATGAGGGGAGGCCGCTCACTGGACCGTGGACTTCTCAGCAATTTTACACCGGTCGGCCGATCTATACTCATCGCCGTCTTTTTGCACGAAGGTGGGTAGGTGTCTGTTGCAACGGTCAGTGATTGGATGCCCCAATCAGTAAGCATTTGATGTTTCTACTAAATAAGGTAAAATGCGTAGATCGGCCCCGCAAGCAAAATTGCAGCGTGTGTATTTTCTCTGGTCCAGCAGCGATTACTGCCTTGAGTGAGCGGCCCTCCCCTCCTTGGACTATTTTATTGAGCGCTACGCCATGAAGCAGTTCTTCGGCTGCGACCAGGATAGCGCTCCCATGGGATAAGACGCCGTTCCCGTGTTCCGAATAAGTTGGTTGATCAATGTAACTGTTGCATTACCTCTTCCTAAAAGACCACCTACATGCAAAGAGTCGTATCAGCGTCTTAGGTTTCACTTCACACAATACATCTCCTTTTTGTGTTTTATCGTCTAGTCGTCGTTTGCATAAGAGTCTGGGTTTTCGTCTGCTTGTTTAACACCACTGTTCTTTTATGATGGTCATTTACACCCCTCTAATTATGTGTGCCGTTTCTGTCCAGGCTACTCCTCAATGAGGCTTATAAGCAGTGATCTGTTTGTGTTCTACAGATAGGATGAGGAAAATTAGAAAATAAATCGTTCGATAACCATTCCCGAAAGTCGCTGATAGCTCAACAGCCAGTGAATGACCTGACGACAGCCACCACCACGAACTCCTTCATGTTGATTTTATAGCACGCGTCTGTGTATGATGTTGGAAAGAAAACTTCCCGAAGTGGTTAAGGTTAACTATCAAGTTTTCTGCGGTTTGGACTTACATACAGCACGATAATTCTCGCCAGAGAAAGCTGGGCATTATGGTAAAAGTTTGCATACAAAAGAAACGCTGAAGGTGAATTCAGTTACCTCCTTACGTTGTCCTACTGGGTGTATCAAGGAGCGGCCAGGCTCTTTAAATCGACTGCTAAATTCGGTTTCTTAACCTGCCGCGTTCAGATTTTGTACAGCGTTGGCCACAGGTGGTGCATTTTTTTTTATTAAATTCGCAAAGAGCGAGTTTACCTGAGGAAAAAGTAAAAAAGTGAAAGCCGTTTACAAATCCCTGTAACGCCGAATTGGAGCGCAGCTCTTGAGGAGGAGGAGTGAAGGGTACTGAGGGGAGGGTAGACCCCTCCTCCTCCCCTCATTCTTTAATATGCTCCGGGGGGGCGGTCACGTGACCTCGGGGGGGGGGGGGGGTGTCACGTGACTTCGGGGAGGGGGGGTCACGTGACCTCGGGGGGTCACGTGACCTCAGAGGGGTCACGTGACCTGGGGGTCACGTGGGGGTCACCTTGGGGTCACGTGACCTTGAGATGACCTTGGGAGGGGTCACGTGACCTTGGGGAGGAGACCACGTGACCTCGGGGGTCACGTGACCTCAGAGGGGTCACGTGACTTGGGGGTCACGTGACCTTCAAAGGGTCACGTGGGGTCTTGGGGTCACGTGACCTTGAGATGACCTTGGGAGGGGTCACGTGACCTCGAGGGGTCACGTGACCTTGGGAGACGTGGGGTCACGTGACCCTGAGATGACCTTGGGAGGGGTCACGTGACCTGGAGGGGTCACGTGACCTTGGGGGTCACGTGACCTTGGGATGACCTTGGTTACGCCGACGGCGACGCCGCTCATGCCGGGAACGGGCCCCTAAGAGCTGCGCTCTAAAAAAGAAAAAGGCTTAGCTTCTATGGAGAACGCAGCGCAGCAACCGGTCTTCAAACCTGAGTGCGCTATGGTTTGAAGGTGGCTCCGCTGCGTTTTACATAGGAGCTAAGCCTTTCGGAGTCAAGTTTCGAAGCACCGAGTCCGGAGGCGGTGCACGTAGAGTCAAAGGAAATAAAGATGACGTCATTTCCTGAATGGTGACGATTTCCGGCGAAAAAATCCAAAGAGCTCTGACTCGAGTCACTCCGTTCGGAGGCAAGGGACGCGCTACTGAACGCGCCCAATGGGAGGTGGCGTAGACAGTGACGTCGCGATGCCATGGCAACGTTAAAACCGGTCCTCCGCGCGTCTTTCAAGTTCCGAAGGATGTGCTTCGTGTCGTCTGCTATCCCTATTTCCCCCCCGATACCTTCCGCAACGGAGCGGTTTCTTGAAACTGTGCGACTGTTTCCCTTTTTATATAACAAGACCCAGCCAGACTACATAGATAATGACGCTAAGAACAACCGCTGGGAAATTATAGGAGAGGAATTCGGAATTACAAGTGACTTTCTCCGTGGCACTTGTTACATGTCGTCTGTGTTGTGACGGATGTCGTGTTGACTTGGTGGCACTTTCGAAAGTCGCCTTCATCTCTGGCGCGCCGCCGGGGCAGCAAAGCGCTGACCTGTCCTTTGGTGTTTCGGTAGAACCAATCGGCCGGACCCGAAACCTGCGCCTCCTTCTTTTCAGATCAGAGGCGTAGACTTTTGGGGGGGGGGGGGGGGGAGGGGG